TGGTGGTCAGCTCACAGCAAGCGATCCAAAGTCTTTCTCAGCATGCTGAGAAAAAAACCCCCGCTGTACCTGCTGTTGTCCTAGCCACTTTTTTCTTAGAGTCCCCCAATGAGAATGAAGTCTCTTCAAGATCCCGGAGCACCTCCCATAACACATCCCAAGCATGGGGCAGCGCAGCAGTAAGCCACAATGGTCATAAGTCACACTGGAGCCCTCCTCTAGGGTAAATCTCTGCCTCTGCATGCATTTTGGCCTTAGCTGAGTCCTGCTAACGACTATGCCAACTGTATTTCAGGAGCTCAGCTCCAGGCAGGTTCATTTTGGATTCAGAGAGGCCTTAAAAAAACTACATTGGGCGCCAAGAAGGGGATTCATACCAATAAAGCGACGGGAAGAAACGAGGAAGCATTTCAAAGGCCAGTTTTGGAAGACAGGTAATACAATGAAATGTGCAAAGACCTGGAGTTAGGAAACCAAAGACGAAGAATATGTTCAGCATTTCTCAAGCTGAAAAAACTGTAGAAAAAAATTCAAGCCTCTACTTGCAATGTTGAAGTGTTTTATGTGCAAAATATTGAATGATGTAGAAAGCATCAAAAGATGGAAGGAATACACAGAGTCACTGTACCAAGAAGAATTGGTTGATGTTCAACCATTTCAAGAGGAAGGGTATGATCAAGAAGCAATCATACCGAAGGAAGAAGTCCAAGCTGCACTGAAGACAATGGTGAACGACAAGGCTCCAGGAACTGATGCAATATAAATTGAAATCTTTCAAGAAACAGATGAAGCACTGAAGGCCCTCACTCATCTATACCAAGAAATTTGGAAGACAGTTACCTGCTCAACTGATTGGAAGCGATCTGTATTTGTGGTCATTCCAAAAAAAAGTGACACACTGGAATGTGGAAATTATTGAACTATATCATTAATGTCACATGTAAGTAGAATTTTTCTGAAGATAATTTAAAAATGATTGCAGCAATACATCAGCAAGGAACTGCCATAAATCCAATGAGGATTCAGAAGAGGACGTGGAATTAGGGACATCATTGCTGATAGCAGATGGATCTTGATTGAAAACAGAATACCAGAAAGATGTTTACTTGTGCTTTATTGACTATGCAAAGGTATTTGACTATGTGCGTCATGATAAACTATGGATAACACTGAAAAAAATGGGCATTTTAAAGCATTCACTTGTGCTCCTGAGGAACCTGAACATAGACCAAGAGGGAACTCATTCAAACAGAACATGGGGATGTTGAGTGGTTTAAAATCAGAAAAGGTGTGCAATAAGATGCTTCCTTTCACTATACTTACACAATCTGCATACTGAACAAATGATCCAAGTATGTGGATTACATAAAGAAGAATGTGGCATCAGAATAGAAGGAAGACTCATTATCTGCCTGAGATATGCAGATGACACCACTTTGTTTGCTGGAAGTGACAAGGACTTAAAATTCTTATTGATAAAGATCAAACCACAACTTTCAGTATGGATTACAATTCAATGTAAAGAAGAAAAAATTCTCACCACTGGACCAATAACATCATGAGAAACAGAGAAAAGATTAAAATCATCAGAGACTTCGTTTTGCTTGGATCCATTATCAATGCTCATGGAAGCAGCAGTCAGTCAAGAAATCAAACATATGGATTGCATAGGCAAATCTGCTGCAAATGGCCTCTTTTAAAGAGGCTGAAAACCTCTTTCAAAAGACAGCTTTAAAGTGTTAAGGAGCAAAGATGTCAGCCTCCTTAGACTAAGGTGGCCTGACCCAAGCCATGGTATTTTCAATTGACTCCTATGCTTGTGATGGACAACGAATAGGAAGACTGTAGAAGAACTGAAGCATTTGAATTATAGTGTTGGCAAAGAATATTGAAAATGCCATGGACTTCCAGAAGAATAAAGGAATCGGTGTTGGAAGAAGTACAGCTTGAATACCCCTTAAAAGCCAGGATGGTGAGACTTCTTCTCTAGTACTTTGGACATGTGTGTTATCAGGATGGACTGGTCCCTGGAGAAGGACACCATGCTAGGCAAAGTGGAGGGTCAGCAAAAATGAGGACGACCCCAATGAGATGGACTGACACAGTGGCAGCAACAATGGGCTCAAGTGTAATGACAATTGTGAGGACAGTGCAGGACCAGGCAATGTTTCATTCTCACTAAGAGTAAGGCCTGAATTGATGATACCTAAGAACAAGATGTCCCAATGTTCAATTTCACACTAAGATTTCCAAAGTTTTTCACATTTACTTGCAAACAATATGTTTCCCAGTTGGCCCGTGTTTTCACCAACATTTAGTATCTAAACTTCAAGATTTTTACTAATCTAGTGGATGTAAGGATGCCTGGTGTGGAGATGTAGGATCAGCACTGGACTACTAACCACAAGGTCTGCAATTCAAGCCCACCAGCTGCTCCTCAGAAACCCTATACAGGGTCATTATGAGTTAGAACCGACTTGGTGGCACATAACAACAACAACAGTGAATGTAAAATGCTAACTCAGTTCCCACTCATAGCTCAACTTCTATGGAATGCCTTTTATGTGCGTGTGTATATA